GGAGTGCCAGCCAGGGACCCGTGTCCTGGCAGGGGCAGCTCAGACGGCAGGAGAAGCCCGAGGCCCGTTCCCATGGAGACGAGAGCCCTGGCTCAGCTTCGACGTGGCCTCTGGTCACAGGGCGGGCTCCTCCTGGAGGGGTGTCCTGAGAACCAAGTCCCCCCGGGACCCTTCACCCCATGGGCCTCTCTGCTCCCGGCTGCGATCCCTCCAAGATGGGGGGAGCCCCGGTGGGCAGGGCGGGGACCTACCCGGAAGGCCCTGAGGGTGTGGTGGGCGCTGTCGGCCTCCTCGCGGCTGCCCCGCTGCATCAGCCGCTGCAGCTTGACCAGGAGCAGCTGCTGGGCTCTGGGGAGGGGACAGGGGGCGGAACCTCAGGGCCGGAGCCGAGGCAGGGCCAGCCCTGGGCAGGAGCCGTGCGTGAGGGCTGTGAGCTCTGAGCCTGGGCCACCTGGGGGCGGACAGGGAGCCTCGCCTCTGGGCCTGAGTCCTGCCTCCAGGGCCATCATAGTGGCCTCATCTGTAACCGGTTCTACGAAGGTCGCCCCCAGGCCTGGCCTGGGCCATGGTGCTGGCGTTTGCAGGTGCTGTACGGACGCCTGTGCGCCCAGCGAGGGTGTGTGTGGGGAGGCTGGAGCTCAGCCCCTGGTGGCCACTGGCTACTGCTGTGCCATTCCGGGCCCAGGACCAGCGGACACGAGCGGGAAGCTGCGGGAGAAGGACCGGGAGGGCGCTCGGGGACTTAGGGAGAGAGCAGCGTCCCCGAGGCAGGAAGGCTCCCAGGAGGCCGAACGGGCCTTGGTGCCCCACGTCCCCGGCTGTAGCTGGGGATGGTGCCCAGGTCCAGGTCGTGGTCCGTGAACGGGTCAACGCGTGCGCACAGCCACTCGTGCCGGTCCTGGTACATGGTGTCGCGCACGTGCACCACGTCGTCGCACCTCAGGGACAGGGAGCAGGCGTCCAGCTGGCCGGAGATGTTCAGGTTCAGCCGGATGTAGAAGGAGTCCCCCGAGGTCACCAGGCCCTCCTCCATGTCCTTCAGCAGCGTCCGGTACCCTGGCAGGAGGCAGGGGACACGCACCGATGAGGTGGGGCCGGGCCTACCGCCGCCACCGCCGCCTCCTGGGCACATCCACCTGCCTGGACTCCTCTCCGAGCTGCTGGCGCGGAGACACCGGGCCCCCCAGGGAACCAGCAGCTGTGTCACTTACGGGGCTCCCGGCTCGTCCTGGCGTCCAGGAAGCTCAGAGCTAAATTTTGGGCCAAGTTGCAACAAATCTGGGGTCTCTGCTACACCTCCACGCCTTCCACACCCTCACCCAGCGCTCGTGTCTCATTACCCCCACCCCGCCCTCCAGTCAACGCACAGCTCGCACAGTAACAGCGTCATCGTGGGACTCAGCCTGACGGATTCTCACAGACGGACACACTCGCAAGCACCACGCAGAGCACTCGCTCACCCCTCCCGCCAACACCCCTCCTGGGACCAGCCCCACACTGCCACCTCCACAGGCCAGCGTGCCCGCTGCGCACGCATGCAGCCAACAGCAGGGCCCCCGTCTGCGTCTGTCGCTCAACACCATGCCCGTGAGCGCCATCGACGCTGCGTGCAGCATCCGTGCCCTTCTCACTGCTGTGCACGAGTCCACGTGGCGTGGGTCTCTCCTGCATGCACATGGGTGCTGTCCCAGGCCTCAGCTGCTATGGACAGCCCTGCGGCCAGCATCCTATGCCTCTCTGGTGGACGTGTGGACTCGTGTCTCTTGGACACAGTCACAGACGTGGGGTTCTCAGGCCCCGGTTATGCGTCTGCTGAGCACACGCTGCCGAGTGGGTTTCTGAAGGGCGAGGACCACGATGGCTGTGGTTAGCACAGCAGTTCTCAACCTTCTGGCCCTTTAAATACAGCTCCTCATGCTGTGACCCAACCATAAAATTATTTTTGTTCGCTCTTCATAACTGTCATGGTGCTACTGTTATGAATCGTCATGTAAATATCTGATATGCAGGATGGTCTTAGGCGACCCCTGTGAAAGGGTCGTTCGACCGCCAAAGGGGTCGCGACCCACAGGTTGAGAACCGCTGGGTTAGACCCACCTGACACCATTGCTCATCAGTGTGACTCTTTCCGATCCCTTTGGAAGGAAGCAGGGCATGAAGCACAAATGCAGCAGATGCCGCGAGGAGTGCCTGTGACATGAACCCCTTTCTAGCCCCAGGTCAGCCCCACGCGCATGAGCTGCGGGAACACGGGGGGCGCGCACGCGGTCCCCACAGCCAGGCCCGGAGGCCGCTCGTCAGACGGCCACACCGCACACGGGCCGTCTGAGCCAGCAGGCGTGTGTGCGTGTTCACGGGGAAGTGGGGGCCGCTGGTCAGGTCCCCCCACCTGCCGGGTCGTGTTGATGCCAATCGCTCTGTGAGCTCCCCGCCCGGGAGGAGACCCTATAAGCCGGCCGGGCAGAGGGACATTTCCTCCGCTAAGCTCCAGACCCGGGCTATCCCGCTGCCCACCTCTGGGGGGCCCCGCCAGGCCCTGCCAGGAAGCCTGCGGGAGGCGGCAGGGCGGCGAGAGCGGCTATTTCTGCGCTGATGAAACATTCATGAGCCTGTGGTTAAAAATAAGCTCCAGCTGCAGAGATAATCACGCGGGGAAACACGGAGGTGAGGGCGCGACGCGGCCTGGCACAGGGAAGACGTAGCGCGGTGCTCCCGCCCGGGGCCGGACCAGGAAGGGCCGGTGAGGCTGCCTGGGCTGGACCAGGAGCAGGTGAGGCCTGGCTGTCCTGGACCCGGGAC